AAAAAAAAAAAAAAAAAAAGATAAAAATGATACTGTTTTAAAGAAATATTGAAAAACAAAAACTATTAAAGAAATGATAATAGTATATTAAGGCATAATTTCACAGTGCCACAGTATGGAACAACTGGAAATCTGATGTATCACTGCCACAAATGTAAATTGGTGTTACCACTAGAAACTAACAACTTGGCTGGTCTTCCAAACTATACATTTAACGTATGACCCAAAAGTTCTCTCCTATGTATCTACTCAACTAAAATGAAAAACTATATCCACACACACATTTACATGTCAGCAGTCACAGTAGTGTCATTTAAATGGCCTCAACTCGGAAAGACCCCAAATGTCCATATCCTCACTAATGGTTCAAAAACATTTTATATCATAAAATTGTGTTCACCAATGCAAAGGAATTAATTGCTGATACATACAGTGACATAGATTAATTTTTAAAATGCGGTACATAAAATAAGCAAAAAACAAAAGTTTACATATGATTCCATTCATATGAAATTCTAGAAAAGGCAAAACTTTACTTTTATTGACCGGAGTTTAGCTTGGGCCCCATCATCTGAATGGAGAATTGACTTTAAAGGGGCCTAAAGGACATTTTCGAGATGATGGAAATATTCTATAATTTGACTGGATTCTGGTTATGTCACTGTATAATTATAAGAACTCATCAGTAGACTTCAAATGAGTAAATTTTATTTTAGCTCAGTAAAGCTGGTAGGAAAAAGTGACAGTCAACATAGAAAATGTTTCTTTCCATTCATTTATAAATGCATTACAATTTTCCAGTAGATTTGAATGGGTTTGTTGAGATTGTTACATCTTATTTAAAATTGTTCTCACCTGGGGAAAGATGTTTGTTAAGAAGAATAAGTAACAAGTTTGGTGGGTTGTTAAGAGTGTTCCAGGAAGGTTTTTTGGTAAAGGGACATTTGAGCAGACATGGTAGAAGTGAGGTAAATTCAGTAAAGAAGTTCACTTTACATATGCCTTATGCATTTCTTAGTGAATTTCTATCTACATGTTTTGTAGTTTCAATTGCTTTATAAATGTGATCTTTTTCTTGTCTTATTACATTGGCTAATATTAATCCTGAATTAAGTTTTATTTCTACCTTCACTTGCCTTTTAATCCCTCACATTGTTACTTCCTTGAGGATAGTAATTATACAATGTATGTGTCATTATTCTTCCACTGTTTATTCTGTACCATGTTCACAGGGTGCAGTCAGTTAATTCATCTGAATGATTTTTACTGAGACCAATCAGATCAGTGCTGTGTGTATTCATCTGTGTTTTTTCTCAGCTCAGCACGAAAACATAAGTAGAAGTTTAAAAAGACCTGAAGTGGAAACCAAAGATGCAAGTGCAATTTCATGTAACACAGTTTTAATTGTACTATAGCACAAGTATAAGATGTACATAAGGACCTTCTCAGGCACCCCTGGTGGGTGACAGGTGGGAGGAGTGAAAGATGGCATAGTCTTAAATTGCACTCAATGATCAAGAGGGACTATCTGGAAATAGTTGCTCAGCCAGGTAGTGATTAGAAATGATGTTTTGGCAAGATGTGTTTTCCATTTGAATAGGAGGGGATCACTCAGACTTTATATTTTTCTTTGCTTAGCTGCAGGTAAGTGAGGTAGTCTGTATGAAACAGATATGAGTGGCCTGAGAGCTCAGCCTCATCCTTCAGAATAAACCATTACTCATTCTTGTTTATGCTGTACCAGCAGATGGCAGCAGAATACTTGGCTATAATGTTCCAGCCTGCTTTTTTAATGTCACATAGTAAATCAGTACTGTGTACTTTTTTAGTTAAGACCAACACAGAAGTGATACCCTCACTTTCTCCAAACAGATAAGAATGATACTACCATTGTGTGCTATCACTTTATGTTAAATATTTTTAGAAATTCAAATAATAAAGTTTATCTAAAAAATGCTACTTTGCAGTTTTTGTTAGCAACTCCTTGACTGAAATTTTCATGCCCCACAGTGTTATTCATATTTTAACATATAATTTTCTGCTTCATAGATTTTTCTAAGAGAACTCAGCTAGTACAATATGTTCTAGAACTAAATAACACTTTACTAAACAATACATAACTTGGGAGGCACTTTGTCTGTGAGAAACCCTACTGATCTTTTTCTCTTTCCTAAACAAAAAATTAAGGATGACTTTTATAAGAAGAAAGCATTGTAATACCGGTACAGTAGCTGGCTCTGACCAGTTTAGCCTCATACTGAATCTCTGGCTTCTGGGAAGTGGCAGGCACAGGATAGAGTTAGCACTTCTTCTCCCTGTTCTCCCCGCTGCTTAGGATGCCAGTGGGACATGAGCTCCAGAGAGCTGACCTTTGGCTTCATGACAAAGCAGGGCAAATGACAAAAGTATGTGACTTATGGAGTCACAGAGCAGATTATCCCCACCTTCAGTCAGTTTAGATGTTTTGAAATCTTTTAAAAAATAATGTTCATACAGTACTGAGTTTTCTCCCAATTTTTCACATAATTGCATTGCTTAATTCTTGTAAACTTGCAAGCCCATGTAATGTGAAGAATTCAGTGTCGTGTTTTATTTTATGAAAACATGATTTATCAAGGTTACTTAACATATATCTTGCATGCTTTGGAATTTTTATAGACTATAGGAATTTTTTTTCTAATGCACCCTAACACAACAGTCTTCCAGACCATAGTACATCTGTGATTGAGAGCAGCAGATGTTGCTGCTACACATGCTTCTCTTTAAGATCAAGAAGAAGCACAAGAGAAAAATAAAACAAGTTTCAAAACAGAAAAATATGAACTAAAACAGAGATGATAGTTAAGAAGCCAAAGGCAGTTGATTGAGCAAAGACAAGGGATGCGATGATCTGAACCCTATGTCTTTTAAAACACTTTTTAAGTCCTTCTGCATTAACTCAGGCTTGATAGCGCTACCAAAATTTATTTTCCATCGAAACTAGACTTTATTTAAACTGAGGAAAGAAAGTACATGGTGTTCTTTCTTATGTTTGGTCCCTTCCCGTTTTGTGTGAGAATTGGCATGTTGTGCCATGGTAGAGTGCCTTGTTTCATCTTAGAGTGCACTTACGTTTTCATTTTTTTGTTTTAACTCTAGCTGATCCCACGGTAAAGGACTTAATCGGAGGCTTCACTGCTCTTCATTACGCAGCCATGCATGGCAGGGCCCGGATTGCTCGCTTGATGTTAGAATCTGAGTACAGGAGTGACATTATCAACGCGAAAAGCAACGATGGCTGGACTCCCCTCCATGTGGCTGCGCACTACGGTAGGGACTCATTTGTCCGCCTCCTTCTGGAGTTCAAGGCCGAGGTTGACCCACTCAGTGATAAAGGTACCACGCCACTTCAGCTCGCCATCATCCGGGAGAGGTCAAGCTGTGTGAAAATCCTCCTGGACCACAACGCTAACATTGACATCCAGAATGGCTTCCTGTTGCGCTATGCTGTGATCAAAAGCAATCACTCATACTGTCGGATGTTCCTTCAGAGGGGGGCAGACACAAACTTGGGGCGCTTAGAAGATGGGCAGACTCCTTTACACTTGTCTGCCCTTCGGGATGATGTGCTGTGTGCACGGATGTTATATAACTATGGAGCGGACACGAACACGAGGAACTATGAAGGCCAGACCCCACTGGCTGTTTCAATAAGTATTTCCGGAAGTAGTCGACCGTGTTTGGATTTCTTACAAGAAGTCACAAGTATGTAATATCATTATTATTATTGTTGTTGCAGCTTTTCCTTTTTAAATTTAAATCTTCTGAGGAGCTTAAGGCGTTGTACACAGTATCATTCCTATAAGTCCTGCTTGGTAAGTAATGCTGTATTCATCCCAAAACATTTTTTTTAAAGTTCTAAATTCAATTGTGTTACTAAAAGCAATTTAGAGACAGTAAAGGTGAGAGGCAAAAAATGGGGAAAAGGATAGAAAGAGAATTTCCAAACAAAGATCTATGGTAGCAAAGGCAATTCCTACTGGTTAAAAAAAAAAAAAAGTCGTGCTGGGATTCTATAGACTTCAGACTGAGGAATCAGAATTTTGGATTTTAGATTCCCTGAAGTATGGAAATGTTCTGGAATGTTACAGTTAAGGTTTTTATGTTTTAATTACAGCTTTTCTACTTCATGTGAACCCACACAAGATGGAACGGAAGTATTATTGGTTTGGGTATCCTAGTATAGAAGTTCAGGGTACTAGAAAACATTTATCCTCAGTGGGTCAGTGGAGAATTTGGCTCTACTGTCCCTGGGCCACACGGCTTCCATTTTTATCTGACCTGTTTTTTGTGGGGGGCTTTTTGTTACTGTTTTAAGTACTGCCAGTGTCACTCACCTTATGTAGCAGCACATGTGTCTGAGTTGTTTTCTGATGGGAGGATTAGTTTGCGTGGACTTAGCTGCCCTCTCTTGTCTAGCTTTTATCTCAGCCCTTGTGTACATGTCCCAGAGGTTAACATCCAACACACAAAGTTAAAGTATTTAAAAAAAATTGATTTTGCTATCTGCTTTCTTTCCTAATGAGTGCCTTTTCCTCACTGGTTTCAAACTTTCAGTCACTGTTATAGAAGACATGTTAACATCCGGGCTACCGGGTACCAGCAGGCACAAGATTTACTTGGCTTGCTTAAAAATAGTCCACTCTGTCCCTCAAAACTCAGCTTTTGCTTTATGATTAAATAAAATGTAATTTGATTTTTTTGTATTTTTAATGAAAGGGAGATGAAGTTATTCCTAGTAATGTATTCAGACTAAAGTGCAAAAAGAAATCACACTTGGGTCAAACTTGGTGCTTTGTGTGATGATAGGCATTTTGTCTCTGTGCTGTCCAGTGTGGGAGCATTTGGCCCCACGTACTTCTTACGTGGTCATGCCACTGAAGGGACTGAGTTTTTAATGTGATTTACTTATAATTAATTTAAATTTAAATGGCCATAAGTGGTAATGTCTTTGCTTTGGTCTGCACCGACCTTTCTGCCATGGAGAGGGCTGTCTGGCACAGGTTCTCTTGCAGAAAGCTTCTGAGACACACACAGGTAGCCAAAGGCTAGAGATAGGGTGCTGCTGGTTGCCTTGTATGTTTTTGTCATTACCCTTTTAACTTCCGAACTAGAGATGAGTAGTTGATGCAGTGTGGTTGTCCTTAGAAAAGCAAGTTACATACACCTCAGTCCCCTTTGTTAAACATTTTGCTCAGTGAGCAGACTAGAGTTAGTCTGCTCAAGTTCCAGCCGTAACTCCTACCACACGTTAGCTGTGACCTTGGGTTAGCTAACTGTTAGCTAACCTCTCAGTACCTCAGTGTCCTCCTCTTAAAATTAAAAAAATAATATCTATCCTTCAGGCTTGTTATGAAGATTAAATAAGAGTCATATCCTACTTTAAACCATGCCTGGCACATTTTAAATGCTATGTAAGTGTTTCAAAATAAAATATGTAACTAATAAAATGAGGGTGGATGAACCAGCAAGGACTAGTTTTCTACCAACTGGGTGAATCTTTTTGATTTTTATTCTGCCCAAGACTCCTATTTTACATGCAGCAAGTTGCCTGGAAGGAACTGCTGGGTAGGTACCTGAAAACAGGGGCAGGCAGAAGCATCATCACGGCCTAGCTGTATGTGTGGGCTCTCTGCTACACACAAGCAGAGCCCTGCACCCTGCAGGTCCTCCGTGAATGCTGGGTGACTGTCTGACTGGTAACTTGGAGGGCATCGATGCAGATCTGTGAGCTCCTCTCGCCCTGAGGCCACTGCTCACTGGACCTCCAGACACCAAGCTGTTGGCTTCTGGTATGGGGACTCAAACTCCTCCAAAGGAAGGACAGCAGAGATACTTCATGGTGGTCTTTATGCAGGGCCATCTTACCGTCTGTCGCATCCTTTTGATTAGAAGTAGGTTATTTAAATTGGAAGAAACTTCAAAATATAATCCTGAAATTTAAAAACTACAGCTTTTTGGAGAAGTTGCCATAAAAATGCTGTATAAAACATTGCATACGAACAGCAATTCTCAATTTGACTGGCTTGGTAATCAGGTAGTATCTTTCTTAATCAAGTAGTGTCTTTAGGAGCTCTATTTGCATTGAGTGGAGGGAGAGGCCATAGGGCTGCTGCTGTCAGTGTTCACCTGCACCCAGACTGAGCTCTTCCACAGACTTGGAACTCTCAGCTTCTCCCACCCTGGAGGGCACCGTGGTGGCTCCTGCAGAGAGCCAGCAAGTGAAGGAGAAGCTTCTCTGTGTCCAGGAGCAAGAAACATAGACTGGGCTGCCAGAGAGCCCCCTGAGGAGAGTGAGCAGCAGCTTCTCACTGACTGGTTAGCCGTGTTTATGAGACATTAGTTTTTGTTTTTATTTTTTTATTTGTGCTCCCAAAAGAAAATGGGGAAGGGTATGTGGAACAAATGAACAAAAAGGAAAACAACAGTGGAGGTGTGTGGCCAGTGACAAATAGAGAAGGTGTCAAGGACAAACATTCTTACGGCAGTCCATTGCAGACTGAAGCTCCCAGGATCAGGAGATAAAGGGCCCCTTGTCCCAGGGCTGGGAGTAGGACGAGGCTGAAACAAGCAGGGTGCTAGCCACACACTTAAGTAGGCACTGATTCCCAGCGCCATGCAGGCGCGCACCTGTAAAGCTGAACCAAGGGCACATGCTTACACCAATGCCAGTCAGGAGCTAGGAGGACCCTGGGTGTTCTGGTGTGTGGGAGTGGGTTACAGTTCTTTAGTTAGAAGTGGAGCGCAGAAACTATAGGAATGTTTGACCAGTTCCAAAGAGAAAGTCCCATTTGTACATAAGATATGGGCATAACAACAAAAAAAAGTTGTTACGGAGGTATAATTTTATGATTTTGTGAAAAGACTTGTTAGTAGAGCTTACCTTGAGGATATGGTTAAAATAATAAAATGCACCATGAGAAATCAGATTGTAATTCAGTGGTTTTTGTTTTGTTTTGTTTTGTTTTCCTTCTTATCACCTCCCTGCCCCACATTGTAAACTCCCTTAGTCAATTAATGGACTGAGTAGTTGTTCTCAGAGTATGAAGTCTTAGGAAAGAGAAGCCAGGCATGGTGAGGCACACCTGTAATCCCAGCCCTTGGGAGGCTAAGGCAGGAGGATTGCCACGAGTTCAAGGCCAGCCTGAACTACACAGTGAAACTTTGTCTCAAAAGAAAAAGAGAAAGGAAGGCAGGAAGAAAGAAAGAAAATAAATTCCCCCAGAAAGCTGGACCTCAGGCAGTGATTAGCAAGGACTTTTAATCTTATAAAAAAGATGACACTTTAATGGTTTTGTGCCTGAAATTTTGTTCAGAGAAGTAGTAGAGTTTAGTACTCAAGCACAAATTACAGACATAGTAAAGCAGGAACTGTGAGCCATTTCTGTAGGGGATAGAGAAGGCCAGAGAGAGCTGACAGCCTGCAGTTTCTTATACAGATGCTGTGGAAAGTGGAGGAAAGTTTCCCAGAACACCAGTCTAGTCTCCACAGAGAGAGCAGTAAAGGGGAGGGCGCCCCACTAGATGGCGCCAGTTGAAAGAAGACTGCTTCCATGTTTGACAAGATCATTCACAGAAGATGCCATGGTCTGCTTTCTATGTAGGAAATCCTTTCACATCAGAAGGCAAAGATGGTACAGTCACTTAGGGACATAGCTTCAGAGGGGTCATCTGGTCACCCCATCCTCACTGTGCAGTGACGTTGATATCTGAACTGTCTGGGAAACACTACCTCTGCAGAACTGCTACTTCAGTAGGACAGTAGTCAGAGTTTTACTGTTACTGTCATATTTTCATGAGTTTTAAATTAATAATCATAGCTATTTTCAATTCCCTGACTGGTAATTGCAACGCTCAAGTCTTGTTCTGATGAGTCCTTCATCTTTTTAGATTTTATCGTGCCTATTAGCACGGCTTGGAATTTTTTATTGAAACTAGACATGATATAGAGGGTAATGGTAACTGAGATAGATAAACTTTTAATATAAGGTTTTTTTTTTGTGGTTCTGGGGTTTGTACTCTGGACCTTGCATAGATAAGTGTTCTACCAGCCCTATTTATTTTGAGACATGGTCTAGCTAAATTGCCCAGGCTGGACCTGAACTTGAGATCCTCTTGGGTCAGCCTTCCAAATAGCTACAGTTAGAGGCATGTACCACCACTCCCTGCGTGATGTAAGGTTTTCTATTAATCTGGCTAGGAGTGGAGCTGCATACAATGTTTGGTGCAACTGTTGGTGCTAGAAGGTTCTCATTCCTCCGGTGTCCTTGTTTTTGCCCCCACCATGCTTTTGACTTTGAGCTTCCTTACGTATTCTTCTGAGGGATCTGTGCCTGGCAGATCTTCCAGATTCAGCCCACTGTTACTACCCTGGAGCTCTGTCAGTGCAGTTTTAGGGTGTGTGTTGGAGTCAACAACCTGCAGTCTTTTAAAGCTCAGTCTTTCAGTCTTTGGGCTGTTACCTTCACAAGCCTTTCTTACTTATATATTTCCCAACCCTTTGCTGCCAGAGGGGGTTGAAATCAGAGAAAGGTCCATCGGGCTAAGACTCTGGCAAAGTCCTTTCACTGGAGAGCAGGCAGGCCATTGTTACGGAGAAGCTTCTGGAGTCCTTCTGGTGGGTTCCTGGATGTAAAACTCAGATGGCCAAGGGCTTCCTGAGACCATGACACTCTGACTCCCACTAGTCCACACGCAGACTTAAA